GGGGGGTTGCACAGCCACAGCTGTTGAAAATATCCAAGCATTCTTTGTAAACAAATGGTTTACATGCATTTTTCACCACAATTTAGAGGATCACAGGTCTGGCAATGTTTTGTCATGCATTGGACAAGTTACTTTGAAACCCCTAAACATTTTCAACTCAAAATTAAGTTACAATGGGATGTAAGACCAACTTTGTTAATTTTAGTTCCATCTGAGTCCATTTAAATTCCAACTTTCAGACTTTAACGTAGCACAAGAGATGCCGAGTGTATCCAGCCACTGTTTGTTGTTGATAAATCTTGTATCTAAACCATTGTATCTTCTTGCTGCTGGCTGAGGTCACAATGAGCCATCATGGGATTTTAATTCGAGCACATGTTGCACACCTGGGGGTAGTATTGTGTCTGGTCTTGGGCACCAGGTCCTTATGTTTGCTGTTTGAGATAAATGTCTACCAAGACCACTGGGGGATTCAAAATTTGCCCTCAGAGTGCAAAGATGGAAGATAGGATCAGAGGGCAAGAGATTCCACAAGGAAAAAAAACGAGAGCAGAACACGTAAACATGCAGGTTGTGCTTTGCCTCCAAATCAGATGGAAAAACTATCAGTGTGAGTGGCAGCAACTGGAGTCATGTGCCCCAGAAGGCTCATGCAAACACAGATAAACTATGAAATCCAACTCTGAGGGAGCCTCTGTATATCATATTTATGATGACATCCAAATAAAGTCCTCACAAGCGAGTGAAGCAGGTAGACACAGATGCAGGGCTATGCATCAGACAAAGCATGCGTTTCAGGTTAAGCGGTTAACAAGTCCAGCCAGTGAATATGAGGTAATCAGATTGGCCATAATCCGACCCCTAGAAAACCAAGGGTTGACACTTACCAGCCAGCTACAAAACCTTACCTGCCTCGTGCTTTACTTAAAATCAAATTGCTCAATATAACAAAAAACAACACCGATATCTCTGAAACATATTGGTAATTCATAAATCTGTGTTTCAACAATTCACTTTCAGAATGACAGAGGCAAACACTGAGTTTTATCTCAGAAACATTTTAGGCAATCTTCTCTTGAATGCATTTTTAACCCTGCTGGCAATTCATTGAGAAAGAATGATCAAATGACACATAAATGTCAAAAGCCTAGAAGTGATAAAAGGAACAATATCACTGCTAAGTGCCAAATGTTAAAGCACATTAAATTAAACACAGCAGAGCTAAGAAAATACATTTTACCAACTACACAGCCAAACCGAACTCAACACACATTATACAAGTTATCAAGATGTTTTGAGCACCAGCATAAACAACTTTAAACTCTTAAGACACGCTGAAAAGGCACAAATCAAATTAATTTCTTCCCTATGACAGACAAAAAAAATACCAGCCTCCCCCTCATGACCCCCACTCCCTCCTCCCTGCTGACTGAGGGGGCAGAGTCTGGGAATGTGATCTCTGGGAGTCTTGTCCCCCCAAAACATCTTCATTTAAGAAAAATAAATCAACACTTTTTGCTCAAATGCCATTGGAGAGGAAATGGGAGTGGAAGAAGAAGAAATAAAACATGATTCGCTCACCGCCCTGTGAGGAAACACTAAAACACTACTTTTCTCTAGTCGAAAGAGATGATTTTTAGTCATTGGTGGGTTCAATTAATAAATAAATAAATAATAATTAAAAAAACATTAAGTATTTTAATATTTTTTTGGAGAAAATAAAGTTGATTTTTAGTTATTTGCATCGCGATGCAATGAAGAGTGTATTTTAACTATTTTTATTATTACTAATGACTCTGTTTAAAAAATTCATTGAACAGGAGTAATTTCCAATCTGCCTCGATATCATACATATAAAGGGTTTTTATCTAAATTACTGCACTGTAGTACCACAATCCCAGTTGGTTTTACATGCTAAAGATGAAGTTAATGAGCTGACACAAAGCAGCATGCAACAGTCCATATGGTGTGCACAGAGGGATCCCTGAGACATCTCTGAAACTGATCATTATTGTTACAGCCTCATTTTCATGATCCTAGTACATTCCTTTTTCTAACCAAAAAGCAGCTGCAGTTTTAGCATTATAAATACATGCCAACCTATAATAAAAACAATATGCACTCAACTTTTGAATGCAGATACAATTACTAGAGGGCAATATGGGCAATAAGTGCAATTTAATTATTAATTTAATGACAAAGCAATATAAATGAGATATACACAAAATGTATAAATGTATGCTTTTTTTTTAATTCACTGTAAAATATTTGAAAATATTAATTTTTGAGATAGCTGCCACTAGATTCTGAATATGACGTTAGTCGGAATGACCACTTTGACCAGGCCCACTAATCAGCCAACATTAAACCATCTGTTTGGCAGATTAATCAGCCTGGCCAATTTATTGCTCTATCAAAACTCATGATGGTGAATGGAAAAAGAATAAGATGTCCAGGTCACTTCAGCTATGTCCAGTAGAAATGTGGCTTTTATGAAAACATTGATTTTTCATTCATTTCTTTGGGCTTTTGAAAGTCAATGATTCACAGATCTCATGAGATTCATTATCTGTCATTTGTAAAAAATATATATATATATAAATAATAATAATAATAATAATAATTTAAAAAGAGCTTTAAGGTTGCTTTTGTTATATCCATGTCCATTTCCTTACCACTAGGTTTTTACAAAGTTCCCAAACATCCATCAGTGCACCGTTACAATTCATCCAAGCATAACCAGTGAGTTTAAACTTTCACCACAATGTAATCAAGTATTTGGATATAATCAATAAGCATTTAGCAGGAGTTTCTAACTCTTTGTAAACTCCGGTCTTACTTTAGTAACGATGAGTGGCTCGCCGTGCTCCAGCCCTCCTTTCAGAGTGAATCCCCACGGAGCGCCTCCGTTCAGTTGCACATGGACGTGCTGGAAAGACACCAGTTGCTCAACGGTCTCCATCATGACTTCTGTGCCTTCAGCTCCGTCCAATCGCCATGCAATCACGACCCAACCTCATCACGATAACCGGAGACTCCAGGCATGAGGGGACAAGCGGTGGCCAGTGATGGGCTTTCCGTGGACTGTGGCGGAGGAAGTGCTAGAGAATGAAGAGTAGATTTGAGTGGCAGATGGAAAGGCCAATTAGAACAGCGCGTTGCTCTAACTGACCAATGAAATTGTAGCAGGGGCAGGATTTTTATGGACCGCTGCATTGTCCATTGTGCGACTGTCTGGGAAAACTCAGGAAAGTTGGCCGTTATCGATTCTTGGTCATCATAACTTTCAAACAACGGCGATAATTTACATGAAAGCTGGACAGGAACTTGAAAACGTACTGAAATGTAACCTAATTGTGAGATTTTTTTTCAAAGACATGAGCTCAAAAGACAATTAAATGATCAAATAACTTAAATGCTTTCCCATTAAGACTTAAGTATTTCAACTCCGTTATGTGAAATGATCACTTTTCTGTTAAATGTGTTATTTAACAATCTTCTCTCTTTAACTAGCGAGGCAAGGAAAACCAAAACTAATGCAGCAAAATAAATAATGTTTGGCTACAGGGGAAAAAATGAATAAGATGGTGTGTATTTCAAATTACAATATAAAGTGTAGCCTAACCCTTCTGGTATTCTGGAGCCCTTTTAGACAAATACATTTAAATTATATATAATTGAAATTGAAATTGACCAAAAAGCCTTTTTTTTCCTTTAGCTGTAGACATGAGTAAAAAAGGCCACTTGAGGGAGCTGTTGTTTCATGTGTTGTAGAAGTGTGACATGCTGTGATGTGTCAAGCTGTATTTTAACCATTTAATGGAAGCTCAGCCTGCAGACAGCATATGTGATCAAAGTTTCAGGATGAGCACTTACCTTTCTTTACAAATCATTTCCACACTGATGAGCAGCTATTCCCTTACTCATTCAGCTATGTGATTAACAGAAGTCCAGTGATGTTCAATTTGTCATGTTGTTAGGACATCTGCATTCAGCTATTAAGCTGGAAACCAAATGATCAAAAACTGCAAAAGCGTGTCTAAATCAATTACCTGTCAAACACATGAGTATGGAGAGAGTATATAGTAACACTATATACTACGCTAATAACTACGCTTGATCAGCCAGTTATCTGAAGAGTGTAACTGAAGAGTCATAAAAATCCTATACCCTACAAGATATGCAACTATAGTGATGTACATTTCACAGAACATTCAAAATGTTTTCTATTTAAAATTAATACATGGAAAATTAAAGAATATACTCAAACACACACACACATATATTCCAAATCTTTAAAAAAAAAAAGTCTGATTGGTTTTAAAAGTAGTGGAAAATACAAAACCATGACATTATAAAGATGCTAATAATTTAAAAACAATTAGTGAAATTAACATTTCAAGTCAGTTGACCCTAAAGTACAGGCCCACCACGGGGAGCAACCTTTCTGATTTAGGCATTATGAGGTGCTGCAGTTTACAGCAAATAACTTTTCTCAACATGCTCTCCATTATCATTTTAGTAGTGGTACAAAAAGCAGGGTATCAATCTGAACGCATACTACACTGAGCAAAATTATAAACGCAACACTTGTTTTTGCCCCCATTTTTCATGAGCTGAACTACAGATCTAAGACTTTTTCCAGAACACTGATCATCACTTTAACAGTCTCTCAGAGACTCACCGTGTTAAAGTGAACGAGGTATAGACGCCTATAAAAGTAAGTAAGTAGTCTTTTACCGCAGGCACTTTAATCTAGAGTGACTTTCAATATATTTATTACATGGAAAATCCCCCTGGAGCAACCTCGGGTTAAATGCCTTTCTCAGAGGCACAGTGGTGATAGCTCTTGGTTCTTTCTTTGTGCGGATGAAGCCAGCAACTTTCCAATTACAGCAATAAGACGTTACAATTAAGAAACCATAACATGCTCTCTCATTACCCTTCTTGTCTTTTATCAGTCTCTTAGCATTCTGCATTCTAATCAACTCATTTCAACATAACTTTAATGCATCTCTCATACACATAAATGCACAGCCATATGAACAGCTGAACGCACATGCAAGCACAAGCGCCCTTATGTAGATGAATACACTTGAGCACACATGTAGTGTACTTTTATGCATGACAGCACCCACACATCAGCTCAGCTGTATTCCGGTCATCTATGCTTCTCATTTTGACACTGATGTCTCAGAATTAGTTTGTGTAAGATCAATATCTATCTGTCTTCATTTCTATATACACTCTTAAAAATAAAGGTGCTTCACGATGCAATAGAAGAACATTTTTGTCTAAATGGTTCCATAAAGAACCTTTAACATCTGAAGAACCTTTCTGTTTCACAAAAGGTTCTTTGGGGTGAAAGAAGGTTCTTCAGATTATAAAAAGGTAAGAAAGAGATGGTTCTTTAAAGAACCTTTGACTGAATGGTTCTTTGTGGAACCAAAAATGGTTCTTCTATGGCATCGCTTGAAGGACCTTTTGAAGCACCTTTATTTTTAAGAGTGTAGAGTGTTTTGGTGCACCCTCTGGATTTTGTCGCCCTTTCTTTTCATTCTCTTTTCCACTGTCACCTTAAACAACAGGTCTGAATTTCCCCTATGACCATTTTTCTGTTTCTTAGGCATTTACTGTACAAGAGCAATGGGGTCAAAATCTGCCTGTCACCATGGCAATAAACTGCTCCATTCATGCGAGCAGCTTGTCATCTCCATAGTAATGATCTGAGATCTGACCCTGACAGATTACTGTGCCTTAAATTCACACTTGCACAGGCAGTTATATGGCTGCATACTTCTAATATGCTGAGCCAGGGGAAATTTCTCTGCTTCGCTCTTATCTCTGCTCACACACATTCCTATCGCTTGCTGGCAATACTTTCCCCCCATTTTCTAAGGGTGACATGATTTGAATTCAAAACATTTTGTTTGTTAAAACTCAATTTGTTGTACAATGCTGTTTCATAAATCAAAGAAAGTGACAGTGGATCTTGCTTAATAAATAGTGCATCCTGTTTTAGATGTGAGAGGGGTTTGTTTAAGAGATTCAGTAGCATAAATTACACACATACACACACTATTTAAAGCAATAGCAAATTGTACTCATATGCATACCTATATGTTTTTTTTATCTTTATACAAACATATATCACATATATACACATATTTCAAAAGTTTAAGGTCAGTAAGAGTTTTTTAAATGTTGTGAAAGAAGTTTCAAAATATTGGTCCCCATTGACTGGAAAAAAAAACAATGGAAGTCAATGGGGACCACAAACAGTTTGGTCACCCTCATTCTTCAAAATACCTTCTTTTGTGTTGAGCAGAAGAAAAAAAATCATATAGGTTTAAAACAACCCGAGAGTGAGTAAATGATGTCCATTTAATTTTGTGGGTGAACTATCCCCTTCATGTCTTTAAAAAAAATAGCACTGACCCCAAACTTTTGAACTTTAGTGTATATAAAAGCATGTTATTTATATGATGATTATACTGAAATGATTAGAAAATGTAAAGATGGGACAAACAAAATAAGTCTGTGCATAATATAGTCCTTATAGCCAACAACATAGCCTATAACAGATATACAATATTATCAAATAATTCAAGTACTCACGTAATACACAGAACACAAAATGAATATGGTTAAGGAAGCTGTTTGTCTTGGTAAGATTGTTGCCATATGAAGAACATGCATTTTGCTTTCAGTTCAGTGTGTGTGTGTGTGTGTGTGTGTGTCAGTATGAATTAGAAAGCAAATTAATTCATCAGTCAATGTCATATAGTCGCTGTACAGAGAGAGAACGAGAGAGGGGGGTTTAAATGCAGAAGGAACTTGAAAAACATTAGTAATTTAATTTCAACATCTCCATTTAGCATTCACATGAACTGAAATATACAAAGTACAAAATAATACAAAGTGTCTCTTGCTGAAAGTCACTCACACCCGAGCTTCACGAGCGCTGCTGCGCACTGAGCCATGCACGAGGAAGCGAGAAAACCTACTGAGCTTGGTAAGCACAAGCAGATCTCATTATGTTAGTATCTTGACAACGAAGCGATAGTAAACTTTAACTCAAAGTAGGAAAATAATACTATAGAGTTCGTTTTTAGTGATTCATTTCAATTTATCAGGCTGTAATCGACACATCGTATTTTCCTTCAGATTTTTCCCAAACTAGCACTCCCATAGCAATGATAGTGTTCATCTGTCAGCTCTGTCGGATATTCGGCTGGTGTGAAGAAAATATAGCGGTTAATACAATAGCATAATAAGAATCATAAATCAAAGTCTAATTTTTGAACAAAGCTTTTATTTGCATTTCTACGGTATGTAGCCACGTTAGCTTGTTTGCTAGCTAACCAGACAGTGAGATATAGTCCATGACAAGAACAAGCGTAACCCTTAGATATATGTGAACACACAGGGTTTTTTATTTTTTGTATTAAGTGTCATGCGTTGGTCTGTAAAAACACAAGAGCAAATCATAAGCTTCTCTTCTCTGAGTAATTGAATGTCATGTACAACGGTGTGACAGGCTATACTCCGTCTAAAACTATTTTCAACCGCCTTTTGCGAATTATTTGTAATTGTTGTCCATGCAGCTTTCATGACTAATATTATTTTTGAGACTACATGATATATGTGTAAGTCTATTTAATGTTAAATACATTTGTAACACTGCAGGACCATTAAAAATGAACCAGTGAAGGCAAAAATTGTGTTTTAAAAAGGTGACACGGTTTAGAAATGTTGACCAGGTATAGGACCTAAGCTTTTTATTTTCCCATAAATTGTAACCCAATCATACCCTGTCATAAAACAGTATTAGATATATTTGTGGTATATAACAACATAATTATTCAGTGCTTCCCAAGTAATTCTGACGGGCCATATCAGAGAGATAATATGCTGTTTGACCCTTTGACTGTGGGTTTTGCATTGACACCCTGCACTTTATGAAGAAATAATGTGAGCATGCATGCAGAATAGCATTTGTGAGACTTACTGAGCCTCACTGTCATGTTAAAGCAAATATGTGTACCATTGTAATTAGGAACTCACTAGAAACATTTAAATGCATACTAGTATTCAAATTAAAGGGATAGTTAACCCAAAAATGATCCAAAAATCTGTAATCATTTACTCATTTAAATTTTTTTTGTCCATACAATGGAAGTCAATGGTAACCAAAGCTGTTACCATTCTTCTTTTGAGAGTGAGTAAATGATGCAATAATTTAAATTCTATCTCTTTAAAATCTTCATATTCTGCCAATTTATAGTGCTCATGAAAATCTTTATTGCCCTTGTCTTTTACAGTTTTTGAGTGATTGATGTCGCCAAACATAGTTTTGAAGGATGAACCGGGGCCGGGGAGTGAGAAAAAGAACGGCACCAGAAAAATCAGATGCCTTTGAAACTTGTAATGAGGAAATACGTGTGGAGATTCACCAGCTCTTCAACAAGGTTAGAGGTTATGTTCCCCCTGCTGGAGGAGAATGGACGTTGCCTGACCCAAGTGTGGTGCTCTGTGATCCTCATGTGAGTCACCCACGTTTGCAGGCTCTGAAACAATCACTAAATGAAGTGAAGAATCAACTCAGCGATAAAGACCTCTCAGTATGGCACCAGCATACTTGTTTCACCAACCGAGCAGGCACTGTTACAGCGCACCTTCGCTCCACAACCAACGCAGAGCTGTGCACCCAGGCTTGGGCCAAGTTCTATGAGATCCTAGGCACTTTTAAACTTCTCCCTGACAATGCGTTGAAGAGTGGCGAATTGAACTCCGTACACCTGTGTGAAGCCCCTGGTGCCTTCATATCAGCTCTAAATCACTTCCTCAAGACGAGTGGCCTGCACTGCGACTGGAACTGGATTGCAAACACTCTAAATCCTTACTATGAAGCCAACGGACGTGGTTGCACTATTTCAGATGACAGACTCATCGCACACACTCTGCCTTGGTGGTTCTTTGGATCCGACAACACAGGTGACATAATGCTTCAGAAGCATCTGCTGGAACTGCCGAGATTTGTGAGCAACATGCGCAGTGTTGATTTGGTTACAGCAGATGGAAGCTTTGACTGTCAGGGGGACCCAGGGGAACAGGAGAGATTAGTTGCTCCTCTGCAATATTGCGAAGCCATTTGTACACTTCTGCTGTTAGGAACCGGAGGCTCATTTGTCCTGAAGATGTTCACACTATTTGAACACTCATCTGTCTGTCTGCTGTATCTCCTTGCATGCTGCTTCCGTTCCGTGAACGTCTTCAAGCCAGGCACCAGCAAGTCTGGAAATTCAGAGCTGTATATAGTGTGCTTGGACTATCAGGCCAAAGAACAAATTCGGCCATTGCTCTCAAAGTTAATCCGTAATTACGGACCAGACTTGGCATCCACAGTGGCGCTCTTTCCCCGTCGCTGCATTCCAGACTCATTTCTATGTCAGCATGAAGAGATATGTAAATTTTTCCATGCATTGCAAGTTAACACAATCCAGGAGAACATCAAGCTTTTTGAATGCATGAGCGTAGAACAGCGCAGGCGATTGGAGCAGCTTAGGGAATATGCTGCAGAGTTTTATACAAAACGTTTCAGTGTTCACTACCTCCCTCGGAAAAGCTGGGTTTGCCATGATGGTGTGGCCAGATGGGTAAAAGTCTGTGAAAGGAAGCAAATGGGCTCTTTCAATCAGCGCAAGGAGATGGAACTTCAGGGATGGAAGCAGCGCCTTGCCCATGGTAATCATGGGGAGTTCATAGAGAGACACTGTGCAGGGACAGAAGGATGTGAGATTGTACTTAGTGGCCCATTGGATGAGTGTGATTTGGAAGCCTGGTTTGCCCTTGAGGGAGCTGCCTTGCCGAAAGTCTGCAGCTCCACCTTCTGTGATCAAGAAATGCTAGACTTCCTGAATGAAGCTCTGGAGGAGAACCTGGGGGTCAAAGCGGTGAATCATTCTGACAGAGCTTTGCCAGTATGCAGCTCCTGTAGCATTGACTCCCCTGTAGGCATGTTATCTGAGATTTGCAGCAACCCTGATGTGACATCTTGTTTGGTGCTGGGAAGACAGTCTTGGTGTGACGGAACACTTGTAAGCAGTAAATTGCAGCCAGTGTTTTTGCAAGGACCCTCCTGTTGTGAGGTACAGGATTCCACATTGCAGGACGGACAACCAGACTATCAATTTGAGCTTTTGAACACTGTGCTTTTTGCTCTGCAGAAAGAGCATCAGGGATCGACCCTGGTGATTCCCTTATGTTCTGTCTTAACACGCTTCACCTCCGGCCTGGTTTTCACACTCCACCTGTGCTTTCGTTACATCACATTCCGTTGTTTGTCTGGTTGGCCTCCTGCTGTTCTTGTGTGTATAGGTTTCTCTCCACCATCAGCTCTACCCCGGCTGCTGGACTTTCTCCGGGACGTGTTGGAGAAGATGAAAAAAGTTCAACTTGAGCTGGGGAGGCAGATTCTGCAGTTTGTACCTTTAGAAGAACTTCTCAGAGGGGAATTACCTCGCTTCCTGTCTTCCTTCAATAGTGCTGTTGTTCGACAGCAGCTACATGTGCTCATGCAGGTTGAATAGAGCACATAATGCTACCCCTGTATGCCTAAATTCTCTAGAAGAACTTTTCAGTTAGATTACATTTCAGTGTAATCATGTCTTGGTATACTTTAATTCAAAGAGCAGGTCATATGGCATTTTAAAGTGTCCTAATATTGCGTTGGAGTCCCCTACAACAGGTATAAATGCATCTAAGGTCAGAAAACATTGTAATTTTCTAAGAATATACATTTAATATTAGAGTCCTTTGCCAATGATTTTGAAACAATTCGTTCCAAGCAAGTTCGGAGAAAACCCCTCCCTTCCATAAGCCTACACTGCTCTGATTGGTCAGCCAGCCAAGCCTGCTCTGATCAGCACAGAGGGGAGTCCTTGAGCAAGTTAGCGAGCGCTACTGACAAAGCACCTTTACATAAAACAATAATATAGTGCTCCAATCCGTTCTTAAAATAATGACATAAAATACAAAATCACTTATGCAAGCGAATTGTGCCCACAGCTAAAGTTTAGCTGCTAAACTGTGAACACTTAAAACAATAATGGTGGATACGTTAGCCGAGTGTTAACGTGGCTAACTGATGAAACAATACAGTTTGTAAACCAAAATATGTCTACTGTAATGTTTGAAGAACGACAGACAAAAGACGCTCTGTGTCTTAACTTTTAATCAGAACACAGAACAGCTGTATCACAGGCGCACCGGCCTAACTAACTCGCTCGTCTCTCCCGCATGAACCCTATAACTGCCGGTGCAGCAAAATAAACAGCAATTTCACAATGATTATAAAGTCTGTGTGCTACACTACATTCTTTATTATTAAACGAAGTAATTAGAACAACGTCAGTCTACATTAATCAACACATTCTTAGGAAATAGTGGGTTCACAGCGAATTATCAGAGCTACTTCAGTAATGCCGAGTTCACACTGCACGATTTTCAAAGTCGTCGGATCGCCGTTGTTTTCACACTGCGTGACTATCTGGGGTAGCATTCAGTTGCTGCTGTGTTCACACTGCACGATGGATCGGCGACAGGAGGTTTCACACTGCATGACTTCACAGTAGGAAGAATCGCCGACAGCTCTGTCTGGTCCGCAAACTACGTTTCACAACAAAACACACGCGAGAAGTGATAAGAAAATAACGCGAGAACCCACGTGCGTCAGACGAGGACAGAAGGACAGAGTTATTTCACAATAAACAAACTGAAATTGTAGCGTACATAGTTTGTGCAATTACAGTTATTTAAATTGATCGTTGAAAGATAATATAGATCATGTTCTATTCTGTAATGTCAGAATAAAAAGGTTGCATTTTATGCATGCAACAGCCGGTCACTGGCAGTCCCATGCCAGTGATAATGAACTATGGTTTTACTAAAGTGACCATAGTTCAACTGTATTATTTATAGATTTGAATCATGTGTAAACAAAAAACATATCTGAACCATGTGTAAACAAAAATATAACCTAATAAGTTACAGTTAAGGCGTAAATGTTAAAATGTGTTTTAAACAAAGCTTATCATTAACCATTTTACTCTTAGTAATTTATTAATTTCATAATTTAAAAGTTTAGTTCAGAAGTATCGTATCGATATCGACGATACTGCCTTGAAAAATATCGGTATCGTATCGAAAACAAAATAAGTGGTATCGCCCATCCCTACTAAGTAGTCTAGCAAAAGTGTTTGTGGGCAGGTCAGACTCTGTTCGTATTTCGAGGGCAGGCGGGGATTATGCAAATGTGTTACCCAGTGACGTATACCGGTAACAGGCAAATATTAAAAAATATAACGACTCCTTAAGGCGATTCAGAATCGACTCTCTCTTTTGAGAGACAATGGCTGTGTCCGAAATCGCCCCCTACATTCACTATTCTCTACATTAGGTTACTAATTCAGTTCACTAGAAGGAGTGAATGAAAACGAGTAGTGAACTCGGACACTGAGTGCACCGGAAGGAATGC